TTAAATGCTGTACATTAAATGTTTTAATTTCATTACATTTTAAAAGATTAATCAAATTGTTAAAGTTTTATTAATTAATTTAATTAGACAATTTTTAATGATGTATTTGTATTTAATCATAAAACACAGAATCCATAAATACATACATGCATACATACATAGAATCATACATGCATACATACATACATACATACATAGAATCATACATACATGCATACATACATAAAATAAATAAATAAAATGGAAAACATAATTTAGCGGGGAATAAATATTTAATGGGGCCTTAAATTAAAAGGTAGCTCTGTGGAGTTTAATTATGATCAAACACATTATCTTTACATTGATTCTCAAGAATATCTAGTTAGCCCCCTCAGGTTCACATATAGAGCACAGTATGCACAGGTACAGTTCATCACATTATTTAAGGAAATGTTCCATTAACGATTGAAAATGTTTTTGTCTCAATATCATTTTAAACAATAAATTGTTTATCTTTGCAATTTTCTTTCACTGACATTAAATGATATTGTATTTTGATGTTATGTTAAATAATGGTACTAAGTCTGCCTTTAACTCTACCTTTTAGAAATTTGCTTTTCATACCGTCTCTACCTCCAAGAAAAGTTAAAAGAAGATGTCCTTGGAATTTAATTCATTCCTCCAGCACCACTGCCTCCTCTTAAATTAGGGTGGGCTAATACATTGGTCTGAGATAACATTTTTTGACTTTGTATTTTGACAGCAGACTGTGTTTGGGTGCATTACTGTCTGTTCCAAAAGTCTTGGCTCTCGCTTATCAGTTAGCCTCTAAACTTGTTTAATTAATGAACTCTTTAGCCCATGAAGGTCTGTGAATATGATGGCTTAATGAGAGCCCTCATTCCAAACTGCTTTCCAAGGGCTGGAAGGTTAAAGCTGCTTCTCTCGTGTGGCCTATTTCTTGGTACTTTAAGTGCAGTAGATAACGTTTTTAGATCTTGTTAGATGTCTGCAGTGCTCTGCCAAGGCTTGGGCACTTTCCCATGGTTCCACAAGATTAACATTTGGCTGGAACTCAGACAGGCTTCAAAGACTCCATACGAAAGGCCTGGAATGCGAAAATAATTAAATAAAGTGACTTTTGCATTTGCATTGGTCGATTTTCGTTTTTATTAGTTTTAAAGGAACAACTTTGAACAAACTTTTTACTCTTATGTATTAAACCTTACCTTTGACCATCTGAGCTAAAGACATGGATGGTAAATCAAATCATGTGGCTCGTTGAGGAGAGGTGTGATATGGTTTTTCAAAGTCATCAGACTTACCATTTATATCTGGTAGACGATAAAATAGATGAAAAATCCCATAGGCTTGCATTGGGAGAGGGATCTGAGCCATACCTAGGGATCAGAATTTCATTGACAATAATTTTAATTTTTTATAATTTTATATTTTATTTTATTTTACACAGTTCAACATTAATGTCAAATGCCTAGTTCAAAGAATTGCAGACTTGATGTAGCATTTTCTTTTAGCTGCATGTGGATTTGTAATGTAAACATATCATGAAAACCAACACTGAGGTGATTAATGGCTTTGCCCCAAATTTTGTGAATTAGCATAGTGTTAATATGGCCACTCTTCCATTAATCTGTAGTAAATAAAAATAGAAATATTATTTTCTGTTATTTTTCCAACGGCGTTTGAGGTTTTGTCATTCAGCCAAAATAAATAGTTTGAAATTCACTCAGTCTGAAGTCAGCTGGGAAGCACGTTGTTTAGCAGCATTCTCATAGCATGTCACGTGACCTTTAGATGTTGGCAAGCCTCAATTGCTATGTCAGATACTTGTGCCTGTTCAGTTTTAATATTTATTTTTTTAGTGCATGGACTGATTTCTGTGCTGCTCATATTTGTAGAGGTTTTGCACCTGTTTTCCATGCTAATTATTTAGTATGATAATCACTGGTTAATTATTTAATTGGTTTGACCACTTAGTGACATTATAGAGCTTAGCTGAATTCTAGTGCTAATTCATGTAATGCTTCTCCTGCAATTACTGATTGCAGCGTTATGAACCTTTAACACTTGGCTCATCAAGCGACATTCACACTGACAGCTATTTGCAGTGACAAAGTGACCTGAAGTCAGTAATTTTCAGTGATAGTTGGCAGTATGACATGACTGGCAGCAACCAGTGTGGATTAGGGCTGTCAAAAAAAAAAAAAATCGAATTTCGAATATTCGTCGAATTTAAAATAAAAATCC